CAGCCAGCCCTGCCTGAGCTGGCCAGCTGCCTTTTATCTGCTCCCACCACCTGGAGCATAGGTGAGGGGGCATGGCCTCTTGGGTCCAAAGTGACTGGTTAACCCCCATGTGGCTGCCCGTCACATGCCTGCTTTTCTAAACTTGGAGCATGTGTCAGTAAAGTCATACAGTAGAATCTTATAACTTTACATACAATGTTGCCACACATATTTTACCAGGACAATAATGTTCAGCAGATTATGAGTTTTCAAGTGATACCTCACAAAGCATAAGTGATAAATGACGGGGGGGGATAGCTCCCTTTTGTGGACATCCAGTGAGCCAGTTGGCTATGGAATCCCTCTTGGTGGTTGTTCTCTACTTGCTTTACCTGTAAAGGGTTAACAAGCCCACAGGTAAAAGGAAAGGAGTGGGCACCTGACCAAAAGAGCCAATGGGAAGGCTAGAACTTTTTAAAATTGTGAAAAAACTTTCCCTTTGTGTCTTGTTTTCTGGAGAGCAGAGACACAGAGCAGCAATGCTGTAAGCAGCTTTAAAACCAGGTATGAAAAAACATCAATTCATACCTCGAACCTACTTATCTGAAACCCCAGATGTGTAAGTAGATGAAGAATGTCTAGAAAGAGGCAATTAGGTTTATTTCTTTTATTTTGTAAGGCTTGTGGACTCCTCTGTGCTAACCCCAGATGCTTTTGTTTTGCTTGTAACCTTTAAGCTGAACCTCAAGAGAGCGATCTTGATGCTTAATTTTTGTAATTGTATCTTTTAAGATCTAGCAAAAAGCCCAAGTTCCAGATGTATTTTCTTTTGGGGGGGGTTAATAAAATGTACCTTTTTTAAGAACAGGATTGGATGTTTGTGCCCTAAGAGATTTGTGCACATGTTTAATTAGCTGGTGGCAACAGCTGATTTCCTTTGTTTTTTTCTCAGCTCTTCCCTGGAGAGGGGATGAAAGAGCTTGAGGGTGCCCCACAGGAAGGAATCCCCAAGTGTGCCTTTCTGGGTTCTCAAAGGGGCGGGGGGGTGTTGCACTTGGGTGGTGGCAGCATCTACCCATCTAAGGTCAGAGAGAAGCTGTGACCTTGGGAGTTTAATACCAGCCTGGAGTGGCCATTATGAATTTTTAGAATCCTTGCGGGCCCCCACCTTCTGCACTCAAAGTGCCAGAGTGGGGAATCAGCCTTGAGAGCATACTTTGTACCAAATTTATCATAGACCTGTAGAAAGGGAGAATCTACGGATATAGACTGTCACACCACATGCCATCCAGCCATATCCTGAGTAATGCGACTCACACTTGTGCTGTGCGGTTCTTTCTCTCTCTCCCTGGAGGATGTCTTGTTTTGGCAAGGCTGGATTTTGGTTTCAAATGCCCATCCAGCTTCCTGTGTGTGTTAGAGGAAGCCAGAGAGAGACTGGCACTAGGCACTTGGAGTAGAAGACAGGGAGGTCTAGGATGGGCCTTAGCTCCTGCGGAAGTTCGTTCCACAGTCTGGGGCTGTTTGCCCACTTGCTGGCGGCCTCAGCAAAGAGGCCAAGAACTGATGAAGGCCAAGAACATGCCTCAGAAGCTGAACTGCCTTGTCCCAGAGTTCAGGCATACTGCAGTGACCGTGCAGGGGAAGGTGGCAGGGAGGGGGCTAGCCATGTTCTCTTTGGGGCAGGGACAGTCTCTGGCCTGGCCTATATTTAAAATATAGGTTGAAACAGCTACAGCTGAGTGCCTGCCACCCCTAGTGCCATAGCGTCGCTGCCCTAAGGCTCAGCGTAGACGCAGCTAGATTGATGGAAGAATGCTTCCATTGACCTCATTGCTGTCACTCAGGGAGGTGGTGTTCCTGCACCCCTGCTGTTGCTGTAGAATCATAGATCATAGAATATCAGGGTTGGAAGGGACCTCAGGAGGTCATCTAGTCCAACCCCCAGCTCAAAGCAGGACCAACCCCAACTAAATCATCCCAGCCAGGGCTTTGTCAAGCCGGACCTTAAAAACTTCTAAGGAAGGAGATTCCACCACCTCCCTAGGTAACCCATTCCAGTGCTTCACTACCCTCCTAGTGAAATAGTTTTTCCTAATATCCAACCTAAACCTCCCCCACTGCAACTTGAGACCATTGTTCCTTGTTCTGTCGTCTGCCACCACTGAGAACAGTCTAGATCCATCCTCTTTGGAACCCCCTTCAGGTAGTTGAAGGCTGTTATCAAATCCCCCCTCATTCTTCTCTTCCGCCGGCTAAATAAAACCAGTTCCCTCAGCCTCTCCTCGTAAGTCATGTGTTCCAGACCCCTAATCATTTTTGTTGCCCTCCGCTGGACTCTCTCCAATTTGTCCACATCCTTTCTGTAGTGGGGTGCCCAAAACTGGACACAGTACTCCAGGTGTGGCCTCACCAATGTCGAATAGAGGGGAACGATCACGTCCCTTGATCTGCTGGCAATGCTCCTCCTTATACAGCCCAAAATGCCATTGGCCTTCTTGGCAACAAGGGCACACTGCTGACTCATATCCAGCTTCTCGTCCACTGTAACCCCTAGGTCCTTTTCTGCAGAACTGCTGCTTAGCCACTCGGTCGCTAGTGTGTAGCAGTGTATGGGTTCTTCCATCCTAAGTGCAGGACTCTGCACTTGTCCTTGTTGAACCTCATCAGATTTCTTTTGGCCCAATCCTCTAATTTGTCTAGGTCTCTCCGTATCCTATCCCTACTCTCCAGCGTATCTACCTCTCCTCCCAGTTTAGTGTCATCTGCAAACTTGCTGAGGGTGCAATCCACACCATCCTCCAGATCATTTATGAAGATATTGAACAAAACCGGCCCCAGGACCGACCCTTGGGGCACTCCACTTGATACCGGCTGCCAGCTAGACATGGAACCATTGATCACTACCTGTTGAGCCCGATGATCTAGCCAGCTTTCCACAGAGCCAGTTCACCATAGAAGGCAATCAAGTTAGTCAGGCATGACTTGCCCTTGGTGAATCCATGCTGACTGTTCCTGATCACTTTCCTCTCCTCTAAGTGCTTCAGAATGGATTCCTTGAGGACCTGCTCCATGATTTTTCCAGGGACTGAGGTGAGGCTGACTGGTCTGTAATTCCCTGGATTCTCCTTCTTCCCTTTTTAAAATATGGGCACTATATTTGCCTTTTTCCAATCATCCGGGGCGTCCCCCGATCGCCTGTAGGATGTGTCCGCACTACGGAGTTGTGCTGGCATAGGTACGGCCCTGGAGCTATGCTGCTCTGGTCCCTGTACTGGAAGAATGGCCTTTCAGCACGTCTTTGTACAGCGCCTGTCACAGCAGGTCTCCAATCTTGATTGCGGCCTTGAATGGGTAAAGGGGCCTGTGACGTTGCACTCTATATTATTTTATGAAAATATGCTAATGAGTGTGAATATAATGTAACTGGAATATGCTTCATGCAAAAGGTCTCTTGTGAGGTATCCTTACAAAGCTTATAATCTACTGAGTGAGGTCATCCTATTTGTATAAATGTATCATTCTTGTATCTGAAACTATAAATATGAAATATAACTCTGAGGTCCTATTGTAATTATGCAAAGTGTGGGCCACTAATGGTGGCTTGGAATCTTGATGGCTCCCATTAACCAGGACAACTGGTTGTCGATGGCTCTGTTTACTTGTAAGTCTTCTTGTATATGTGTGTGCTGGCAAGTGGGTAATGAAGTCTTACAGTGACATGCGATCATGTCACCTGAACAGGAATCCATCTTTAACCTGGTGTTTTTCCATTGAGGAGGAGGGGTGGGAACCCAGAGAGGAACAAAGGATTCCTGCCTTGTGCAAAAGATATATAAGGGAGTGGAACAGAACAAAGGGGGCTGCAGTCATGAGAAATCCCCTAGCTACCACCTGAGCTGGAAGAAGGGCTGTACCAGGGAAAAGGATAGGGCCCAGACTAGGAAGGCATCCAGTCTGTGATAAGAAGCTTATTGAAACATCTCTGAGGGTGAGATTTTATCTGTATTAAGTTTTCTTACTGTATTAGGCTTAGACTTGCATGTTTTATTTTATTTTGCTTGGTAATTCACTTTGTTCTGTCTTTTATTACTTGGAACCATTTCAATCCTACTTTTTGTATTTAATAAAATCCCTTTTTACTTATTAATTAACCCAGAGTAAGTATTAATACCTAGGTGGGGGGCAAACTGCTGTGCATCTCTCTATATCAGTGTTATAGAGGGCGAACAATTTATGAGTTTACCCTGTATAAGCTTTACCCATTGGGAGCTGGGTATCTGAGTGCTGGAGACAGGAACACTTCTTAAGCTGTTTTCGGTTAAGTCTGCAGCTTGTGGGGGACGTGATTCAGACTTGGATCTGTGTTTGCAGCAGGCAAGCATGTCTGGCTCCAACCAGGCAAGGGACTGAAGTCCCAAGCTGTCAGGGAAAACAGGCTCAGAGGTAGTCCAGGCACATCAGGTGGCAGTCCCAAAGGGGGTTTCTGTGATCCAACCCGTCGTAGGGCTGGTAGTGGAAAAAGGCCCAGTGCTTTCTGCTGCTGTGTGAAACACCCTCAAGGTGCCAGCATTTAAGCAGGAATACCAGCCAGAGGAAACTTGCATGGTTGGCAGTGTGAGTGTTTTCACGTTCAGGTCGGGGAGTGGGAAAGCCTGGACCTGATTCAGAGGCAGGGAAGCTCCTTTGGGGGAGACACTGGCATGGCAGTCAGAATGGGAAGCCCTGGAGAACCAGCCAAGTTCTTGGGGGATGTGGCATTTGCTCCGAGATGACGGGGCTGGTGCATCCAAAGGGGAGCTGGTTTAAGCAGCTGGGCCCAGCCTGGGATCTCTGTGCTTTTCTGTGACTGGTTGGGCCCTGGGGGGGGGGGGGGGGGGGGGGGGTCTCAATGACCATTTGACACCAATACATTTTGGCCTAGCAGCCAATGCTGCTAGGGCTAGTGAAGGGCATCTGCCCCCTGAGCAGGGGCAGGGGCAGGAGCAGGGTGTGATGCAGCCTATGTTGGTCTCTTTCAGGAACTGGTGCTCGTACATGGTCACGAGGACAGTTTCCTGCCATGTCCAAAATGGTACCTTCCTGCAGAGAGTGTTCCAGGGCTGCCACTGGCCCGGGGGCTGCAACGGAGGCAGGTGAGAGAGACGCTGCCGCTTCCCCTTCCACCGCCCCCTGCTCCCTTGCCACATGCTGCTTGTCTGCTGTGCCACACGTGGGCAGAGCTGGGGCATGGGAGTCGCACATCCAGAGTTCATGCTGCAAGGTGGGGAGATTTTGCTTCCTCCTAGGGCCCCTCACAGGCTTGAACTGCTGCAACCCTGTAGCAGCACGCGGGCCGCTCCTACCTTCTCGCACCGCAGAGACCCACTCAGTCTCCACTGGCAGGGTAGCCACACCCTGCTGCTTATTGCATTCCCTCCACCCGTTCAGCAACACTATGGACAACTCCCCTGCTATCCCTAGGCCCAAGAGGAACAGAGGTCTCCCTTCCTGGAGATCTCACTGACTCTGGACTCGCCTAACTCTGCTCCTCACCTGGCACATCCTTCCTGTGCCTTTGGATCAGGCCTCAGCTGATGGGCTAATTCATCCCCTAGCTTACCCAGCTGTGATCCTGATGAACAAATTACATTTTTGCCCCAGCCAGGCTTCTCGGGGGGGAGCTAGAGCAATCGGGGTGCTGTAGCTGGTGAGCCGGCCCTCTGTCCCAGGCCCCGTGTTACTGGGAGGGGAATGAAGAATTAAGCTGTTGTGCCCATCCAGTCCCAAGTTCCTCCCACTGCCCCAGCCCAGAGGGACCATCCGCTCCTGGGGCTGCTAGGCCACTCAGCCTCTGTTTGCACGAAGACTCGGGCTCCCCTCCACCCACTCTGATGGGATCCAGCCTACAGCTGGATGCTCCACCCCTTCTCAAGGGAGTGCTCCATCGATCCTGAATCCTTCCACACCAGCCCCCTCCTGGAGCGGCCTCATCGCGTGAGGGTAACGTGGCTTCCCCACTCATTCCTGCCCCATGTTGCTCCTACATCATGAGAGGCTGCAGCACATCAGCTGATCCCAGCAGGGGCCAGGCAGGAATCTACTCCCATCCCATGCAATGCTGAAAGGGGGACAGCAAGGAGCAAACTCCCCCCTGTGAAGCATCAGGCCTGGGTGCCTGCTGGAGGTGGAGATGGGATACCCACCTGGGATGATCTGTAGCGACAGGCTGCTGGTGGTGACAAATGTTAGGGATGCCGGCGCTGAGCCTGGCCCCTGAGAACAGACCAAGCTCCTGATGCCGGGGCCCTTTCTGTTTCTCAGCTACAGAGCCATCGTGAGACCAGCGTACAAGGTGGCCTACAAGACGGTCACAGCTCTGGAGTGGAAGTGCTGCCCAGGCCACACGGGGGTCAACTGCAAAGAAGGTAGGAAAAGCCAGCTGAACATGGCTCCTGGGGGATGTTCTGAGCTGTGTGAGCTGCAGGGAGCACTGGGGCACTGCAGCCCAAAGAGCTGGCATGGATCAGAACAGTCCCCTGCTAGCACAGGATTGAAGGGGCCTGGATTCAGATCCCTTCCACCGTGGGGCAGAGGGATCTCTGGGGGGACAGCTCCCTCTCTTTGTGGGGCAGAGGGGGAGCTGGAGGGCAGCTCTCTCTCTTTGTGGGGCAGAGGGGGCTCTGGGGATAGATATACAGGGTAGTTTGTGTGGGGCAGAGGATACTCTGGGCCAGATAGATAGCATAGGGGGACAGTCATCTCATGGCCGGACAGAGGGAGCTCAGGACACCGGCTGCCCTAGCATTGTCTTTGGTTGTCAGCAATGGATCCTCCATTGGCTGGATCACTGTTACTGGCATAGATGGGACCCAACCATTGGGCACTATGTCACCTAGGGTGTGATGGGCCCCATCTCCACTAGCAGCTAAGCCCGTCTGCACCAGCTGATGGGGGAGTGGCTGCTAACTACTGCCATGGGGAAGTGCTATGGAGACAGATCTTCAATCTGGGTCATTCATGGTAATGAGGGTTGGAGGGGACGTGAGTAGTTGGAGGAGGTACAATGTGAATGCTGCGGGCATCAGCCCCGTGCATCAGTGTCATACGCTGGATGGCAGATATCAGTCTCTGGGCATTCTCTAGAGTGCCCCATGGCACCTCATGCTGCCAACCTAGAGGTCAAGCGATCCAGGGCACCTCCCAGGGATTCTGAGGGGGCAGGTACGGAATCAGACCCCAGCCAGTGTGGGGCAGAAGGATCTCTGGGGGTAGATGTATGGGGCAGCCCCCCTCAGTGTGGGGCAGGTATGGGGGGTTCTCATCTTTGATCATTCCCGAGATGATACTGGGGTGAGTGGGGAGCCGGGCTGGGGGCAGATTCTTCCCTGAAATCCCCTGATGTCAGCAATTTCAGTTTGCTGGTTTGTTGTAGCTCATTAGCCCTGGGCTGCCTCTTCTAATTAGTTACTGTAGGGCTGCTTGTAAACAGTGGTGCTATGGAGCGGGGGTGTTGTTATGGTAGGGCCACGCATGGCTGCACAGCGTATCTCATGCCTCCTGGATTGCTCACCATGAAAGCCGCATGAACTGGTGCCCATCGCCAGAGCTCTGCACAGATACACAAATAAGTATCCGCATCCGATCCACGAGCCGCAAAGATTATCTGTGGATATCCACAGATCTCCTCAGATTTGCAGGGCTCTACACTGGGGGCTAGGCTGAGGCTCCAAAGCATCCCCCCCCGACGGAGCCGGTCGGGGAGAGCCACAGACAGCTGTGGGGAGTGGACCCTCCACCTGCCCTCAGCCGGGCGGGGAGCCTGGGGGGCGGGGACACTGCTGGGGGCTGCTCTCAGGCCCCCTCCCCCATACTGTGGGCAGGTAGAAGGTCTGCCACTGCTCCCCACTGCTGAGCTCCATGCTGGCCTGGCTGGGGGAAGGGGGGACACCTGTGGAGCTGCCTGGGGGCTGCTCAGGCCCCCCACCCACAGCAGGTGGAAGGTCTGCCATGGCTCCCCACAGCTGCCCGCCCGGCTCTTACCGTGGCTGGGCTGTGGCTCCGAGCCACCCCCCTGGCCGAAGCCAGGTCGGGGAAAGCCGGGCGGGCAGCTGTGGGGAGCCACGGTGGACCCTCCACCTGCCCTGGGTGTGGGGCCCAAGCAGCCCCCCACCCAGTATCCCTGCCCCCCAGGCCTCCCGCCCAGGGCAGGTGGAGGATTGGTGCCGCGGTTCCTCACTGCTGCCCACCGGCTCTTACCGTCAGAGCCCTGTGCAGATACAAAATTTGTATCTGCATCCACACTGCTATCCGCAGAAATGGTCCACAGGTATAAAGTGGATACCCACGGATTTTCAGGGCTCTACCCGTCGCAGCATCGCTGAGCACTGCCAAGCCCTGCCTGCCGGGAAGCTGTTAGTTATTCCCATACCAGCATCTCCCAGCAGGAGCTGCTATAGGGGATGGCCCAGAAGCTCTGGCCTCTGCTAATCGTATAGATGGAAGAGGATGTTTGAATGGTCTTTGGGAACACAGTTCCCAGCGAGGCGCTGGCAGGACGAATCTGAGTTTACGATACAAGCAGAGCAGGCCACCAGGCTGCTCTGGCCAAAGGTAGCAGCACTAGCCAGTGCCATTTACCCAGGGATCAGCCTGGCAGGTACAACAATCAGCACCTGGAGAGCCCAGCATGGGACCCAGATCGCTTGCTGTTTTGTAGCCACAGCAGCCAGGGCAGGAATGGATTCCTCGAAGGCCAGAATGGATCACTGTGATCACCTAGTCTGACCTCCCGTCTAGCAGGCCAGAGGCCGTCCCTGAATGAATTCCTGGTTGAACTAGAGCAGAGCTCGGAAAACGAGCTCGTCTGGATTTAAAACTGGCCTGCGAGAGGGAATTCACCCCTGCCCTTGGGAAATTGTTCCAAGGATTAATTGCCCTCATTGTTAGAAATGGGCATTTTATTTCCTATCTGAATTTGCTTAGCTTCAGCTTCCAGCCCTTGGGCGTGTTAGACCTTTGTCTGCTAGAGCAGTGGTTCTCAAACGTTTGTAGTGGTGACCCCTTTCACACAGCAAGCCTCTGAGTACGACCCCCCTTTATAAATTAAAATCACTTTTAAATATATTTAACACCATTATAAATGCTGGAGGCAAAGCGGGGTTTGGGTTGGAGGCTGACAGCCCACGACCCCCCATATAATAACCTTGCGCCCCCCTGAGAGGTCCGACCCCCAGTGTGAGAAACCCTGTGCTAGAGTGAAGATCAATGTTTTGTTCCCCAGCTAGGTACTTATCGGCTGTCCTCAAATCACCCCTTAGCCTCTTTGTTAACCCAAATTGACTGAGCTCCGAGTCTCTCACTGGAAGGCAAGTTTCTAATCCTTTATTCATTCTTGTGGCTCTTCTCCAATTTCTCTCCACGCCGCGTTAATTGGGGCCACCAGCACTGGACACAGTGTTCCAGCCGTGGTGGCACCAGTGCCAAACACAGAGGGAAAGTCACCTCCCTGCTCCTACCCAAGATCCCTGGGCATCAGGGGAAGGAGGGTGACTCAGAGGCTGTCAGCTTAGTGTGGGCCTCCTGGATCACCCCAGAACCAGCTTGGGGGACAGCAGCACTGCCAGGCTCTCCTAAAGGCCGGGGGGGCGCCTCATTTCTGGTGCAGATGGTGCAGGGCGATTTGAACTGTGCCAAGGAATTGCCCCTCCAGCGCCAAGAAAGGACAGACAAACTCAACCATGACCCCACGATGCTGAGACAGGCAGGACTCACTGTGGAAGGGCCGGGGCAGGGGGCAGGTGAGCCAGTCTCCCCCTTCCACAGGGCAGGGGCAGGAGGAGAGGGAGAGGGGAGGCTGAAGGGCTGCTGCTGTGATTTTTTCCCCCAGCTGCAGTCGAGGAAGGACCAGGCCTGGCTCCCTGCCAGCTCCTCTCCACTCTGCCAAGCTATCAGCCTTGGGGTGCCTCCACCCTTCCTGCTGTTGAACCGCTGGGGGACAGGAGGAGGGGAGGGGACACCTGTGGATGGAAGAGGCAGGCTCAGTGTCCTGGAGGTGCTCTAACTGGGGGACCCCCCCCATAATACACACAGCTCCCCTCAGCCCCCAGTTAGCCCCCATTGGCATCTCCCATCCAGCCCCCCATTTCTCCATCCAGCCCCTTCGGCAGCCCCAGTCCCCATCTGGCCTCCCCTTGGACAACCCCCATCCAATCCACTTCACATTCTCTCTCCTGCATCTCCTGGAGCCGCACTCAGGTTTCGGTGCAAGCTGACCGGGCCCTGGTCCCTCGCTGTCTCTGGGGACCTGCAGGCCGCTTTGAAATGGACTCCAGGAGGGAGAGGTGGGAGACGAGAGAGGGATGGAGGGGCAGCGATATGGGGAGCAGAGGGGCTGGGTGGATGACCTGAATGGGGCCAAAGCTGAACTAGGCCAGGGAGGCGACACATGGCTCCTGGGAGACAGCATTCTTGCTGTCCACGGCAGGGGATCAGGAAGGCGAGGAATCCGGGCACCCAGCCTGGGGTTAGGGTGATTCTCCCTGTGTGTGTCCTTCCCCTGACCCTGCAGACAGCCCCAGCTGGGCCTGCACCCTGCGGCCCACCCCCGGGCCTGCTCACTCCCCAATTCCTATTGCACTGATCCCAGCAATGCTGACTCAGGGGCTGAGGTTAAGGAAGCTGCCGAGAAAGCTGAGCCCGGCTTGTTTTGCTGCTTCCTGGCCAGCTGCGGCTGGGAACTGGGAGCCTGTGAGTGCTCTGCTCGTCCCTCTGCCTTCAGGCCTTGGCAGGCGGCTTCCGAGAGCTAGAGCTGGCAGGGCCTGCTCGGTAGGAGCTATTCCGAGGCTGCTCAGCTGCTGCCCAGTCGGGTTGCCAATTTTGGTTGGACGTATTCCTGGGGGTTTCATAACATGACATCACCTATAATTAAAGATTCATGTTTAATTCCTGGAGACTCCAGGCCAATCCTGGAGGCTGGCAACCCCACTGTCCACTGGGCCTCCCACTAACTCCCCCCCTCCGCTTCTCCCCCGCTATCTTGGTTCTTAGGACGCGGGATCTCAGCAGAAAAGCTGAGCGACTGAAACTCCCATCTCCCCAGCGCTGCTGAAAAGAGCATGCTCCAACTGTCTGGCAATCTACTGAGCTGTCTGTCCTCAGGGGGAGTGAGCGGTGGCATTGGTTCTCATGGGCTGACAGCAAGACACAGCCACCTAGTAACCTCTGCGAGCCAGGGACCCCTCTGCAAGTACCTGGTCCCCCACATCATTGGGTGTGCTAGCCCGCTGCCCCCCGGGAGCGCAGCGTAGGGACAGTTCACACAGCTGGAATCCTGCCACTGCTGCCTGGGGAATGCAGAGCTCCTGAGGCTCCAGGTCACAGCACTGTCTCTGGGGTGGCTCCTTCCGAGCTTTTCTTCCCCCTGACT